TTTACCTTGGTGAATACACTGAGGTCCAGGTAAGGCCCTTGGCTTGCCATCTTAAGACCCAGCATACTAGAATTGGTGGGGGTTAGCTGCTGAGTAATGCTAACAAAGCTATTGAAAAGAGAATTTATAAACCCAAATGATTTAGTTATTTATAATGAGGAATGCACTATGAGGAAGACTAGAAGCATACTGGCCTGACCAGCACTTTTGTTGATTGTGATCAAAACACAAGAACTCAAATTTTCAAAGGAGTCTCATTGAGTAGGTTATTAGTTTGTTTTCACAATGCTAATAAAGTCATACCTGAGACTATGAAGGAAAAAAGGTTTAATTGGACTTACACTTTCTCATGGCTGAGAAGACCTCAGAATCATGGCAGGAGGTAAAAAGCACTTCTTACATGGTGGTGGCAAGAGAAAATAAGGAGGAAGCAAAAGTGGAAACCCAACAGATCTCATGAGACTTATTCACTATCATGAAAATAGCATGGGAAAGACTGGCCCCCATTATTCAATTACCTCCCCGTGGGTCTCTCCCACAACATGTGGGAATTCTGAGAGATGCAATTAAAATTGAGATTTGGGTGGGGACACAGCTTAATCATATCAGTAGGCAATGGAAGCAAAAGAAGAGCCACCATAGGAAAGAACTTGTCCTCTAGACCAGACTTACCAAGGGTCCTGGGCACTCTCTCCCCTGGACAGTGCTTGAATGAATTTCCAAAATGGTGTATCTGGCTTCCTATTTTTCTGTGCTTTCAGGGCAGATCAATTTTCCTTCTGATCCTAAACATGGAGGTGCAGGCAGGCAAGGGGGTAAATTGTAATGTGAACACTGATTGTGCCTGCCTATGTAATCTGCCAACAAGAGACTCAATGTGAAGAGTTTACTCCTCAAACAGGACTTCATCCTAATTTTTGTTTAACCCTAATTATCTTCAGATAAGTGTGCAACACCTGAGATAAGGTCAGCTTTGGTCAGGAAGACTAGGCTTAATATTGATAAACAAGAAATAAACTCTATATCTTTAAGAAGAGGCTGTATTTAACAAAACATTGGGCTATGCTGTTTTTTTTTGACATGAAAGGGTAGCCCTCAGAGAATTTCCTAGATTGGTTGGCATTAGTCAAAGAAGACTAAATTATTCTTCTCAAATAATAAAAGCAAAATTTTGAGTGTCCAAGGGCAACTTTGGAGCACACCAGGTGAAGACAGTGCCCCGCCCCCACCCCCACCCTGCCTCATGATTCCTCCCATCTTCCTCCCCTCACCAAAAACACAAGGAATAACCTAAGGAAAAGAGAGAGGATGTGTTGGAAAGAGGGCCTAGCAAGATGCACAAAACAGAGAAGAGAAGACAGATGAGAACTTCTATATTCAATCTTGGGGAGTTTGTCAGGACTGTGACTTCTCTGCTAGCCAAGATCTTCAACTGTGTGAATGATGCTTGGGGAATTTTTTTTTTTTTAAAAAGGACTGAGCTCCAGGTTTGGGTTTATGCAAGGTAGAGAAGAAAAGAGCTGAAAGAGGGAAGATATAGCAGAGAACAAGAATTCTGTGAAAGGAGAAAGTTGGGCCAAATGATGATCAGGAGAAATGTTAATGTAAGTCTCCAAGAATCATAGTGGAGGAAGGGTGCAGAGAGTTTGTCTTATGCAGGGCAGAGTCATTTAATCCGCTTTTAATTAAATATTTTAAAGTTTAAATCTCAAAGGATAGGGTGATTGGGGTGGCCTGGAAAACTTGGGCCAGAATCAATGCAGTTAAGGGAGAAAAGGGGAGTTAAGTAGAAGGCAATGTAATGTAGAGCCTGTGTCTTGCATGTAGAATGGATATTTCAACTTCTCAACATTCCTCTTGTCCACTTGAAGATTGTCAATACTTGACTTTCCAGAAGCCATTTCTTAGACTCTTTTCATCCACCCCATGTTGTCTGACTGGCTAATGTGGTTGCCTTCTAATTTCTAAAAGTATCTCTGCACGTTCTTCTCACTGTACACAAGGTCACATCACTTCATGCTTCTCTGACTTAAAAGAAAGCACGGTACCTCCTCTTTGTTCTTTAATTCTTAAAAGTATTCTGATGGAGAGCAATAAAATTTCAGCCCAGAAAAGATGCTAATTGCAGGGTTTTAAATACTTGATGAAAGGCCCTTTCTTTTGAGAGGAGAATATCTTCTTCCAATTAAAAGAAAAAAAGGCAAACAAACAGATTCTTAAGTTTAAGTCATATAGCTTCCTGCCTGGTGCCCACATGAGAGCTTCTATGGACTCCTCATGTGAGTGGTATTAATGATTTCTTGTTACAGAAGAGGATAAAGCTGAGCAGGAGTAATGGGAATTGTCAAACAGCTATGCGTGCTTTGGACAGCTCTATGAGGCTGCCAAATGCTTCCCCTGAAAGAGTGAAACAGAGTGCCTATGAGAAATCATGACACCAGGCTGTCTAAAGCTTTTAAGTGCCTTAGTCAGAGCCAGAAATTCTTATTCATCAGAAAGGATTTTGTGGTGAAAGGAAAGTTTTGGACTAAGTCTTTTTAAACTTCTTGAATAGGGCCAGAGTGAAATTTACAGTAAATAAAGTTTAGTTCCACAACAGCCAAAAGTGGAAGCAACCAACGTGCCCATAACAGAAGCATGGCTAAACAGAATACGGCATATACAATGAGAGATTATTCAATCCTAAAAAGAAAGAAAGTTCTAACACATGCTACAATGTGGATGAACCTTGAGGACATTACACTAAGTGAAAGAAGTCAGTCACAAAAAAGGACAAATACTGCATGACTCCATAGAGTGGTCAAGTTCATACAGATAGAAAGTAGAATGATGGTTGCCGGCAGGTAGGGGGAGGAGGGAACAGAGAGTTTTTATACAATGGGTACAGAGTATAAATTTGGAAAGGTGAAAAAAGCTCTAGAGATAGATGATGGTGATGGTTGCACAATGAGAATGTACTTAATGCCACTGAACTGTCCCCTTAAAAATGGTTCAAATGGTAAATTTTATGTCATGTATATTTTCCCACAATGAAAAAAAGCTTAGTAAAAATAATAGTGTTATTTTGTAAAAGTTTGCATTTAAAAAAGTCACATTTTTGGGGGAAGCCCTCATGAGAAAAGGTTTCTGTTGTTTGAATCAACTAGGAAACCCTTCAGGCAAAGCACATTCATCACAGAAAAGTCTCCCAGAAGACCTGCACTGAAATTACCCAACATTGTTTAACCAGCATTTCATATGTATATTTGACTCTAGGACACTTCTTTCTAAAGATTTCTTTTTTTTTTCTGTTTTACATATACATATTTTATTTACAATACATCTATGCTTCTGGGAGTCTCTATGCTATTCTCATAAAATCTGAATCATACAAATAAAAAGTTTAATTCCTGGCTGTTTTGAATGACTTGGGCCTGTATTACAAAATTCATCAGATACAATTATACTATCTTCACAACTACAATCATCTGCACTGGATTTGACAATGCACAAAGTACTTCCATGTATATTATTTCATTTTATCTTTACCACAAACTTTAAAGTGTGAAGATATGATGATCCCCATTTTACTGCCTAGGACAGAGGGACATGAAGAGGTTAACTGACTTGTTCCCTGAGAAAGTGGAGGAGCACAGACTGTAACCCCAACAGTTTAACTCCATACTGCATATGCATCAGGGCGTTAATCATGAGACTGTATGACCCTGCTGAGCTTGGGATTTGCTTGCAACTGATAAGGTATTCCCTCTTCTACCTCAGGCCCCTTCCATCTTTTCAAAAAGTATCCTTCACTGTAAATAATCTTCCTGGAGGCCTTAAAGGATCTGACCACCTAGATTTATGTAAAAAAATTGTTTTCTGGCCGGGTGTGGTGTCTAATGCCTGTAATCCCAGAATTTAGGGAGGCTGAGGCGGGCGGATCACGAGGTCAAGAGATCAAGACCGTCCCGGTCAACATGGTGAAACCAGTCTCTACTAAAAATATAAAAATTAGCTGGGCATGGTGGCACACACCTGTAGTCCCAGCTACCCAGGAGGCTGATGCAGGAGAATCGCTTGAACCAGAGAGGAAGAAGTTGCAGTGAGCCGAGATTGTACCACTGCACTCCAGCCTGGTGACAGAGCAGTGCTCCATCTCAAAAAAAAAAAGTTGTTTTCTTCATTTTCTTTTTATTATGTGTGTGTGTGCATATATATGTATATATAATTGCACTTTAGGTTCTGGGGTACATGTGCAGAACATGCGGGATAGTTGCATAGGTACATACATGGCAATGTGGTTTGCTGCCTCCATCCCTGCCCCGTCACTTATATCTGGCATTTCTCCTCATGTTATCCCTCCACAACCTTCCTACCCCCCACTGTCCCTACCCTAGACCTGAGTGCATGATGCTGCTCTCCCTGTGTCCATGTGTTCTCATTGTTCAACACCCGTCTATGAGTGAGAACATGTGGTGTTTGATTTTCTGTTATTGTGTCAGTTTGCTGAGAATGAGGGTTTCCGGATTCATCTATGTCCCTACAGAGGACACAAACTCATCATTTTTTAAGGCTGCATAATATTCCATGGTGTATAAGTGCCACATTTTCCTTGTCCAGTCTATCATCAATGGGCATTTGGGTTGGTTCCAGGTCTTTGCTATTGTAAAAAGTGCCACAATGAACATACATGTGCATGTGTCTTTATAATAGAACTATTTATAAAAAAAACCATGGGGCTGGGCACCGTGGCTCACATGTATAATCCCAGCACTTTGGGAGGCTGAGGCGAGTGGATCACGAGGTCAAGAGATAGAGACCATCCTGGTCAACATGGTGAAACCCCGTCTCTACTAAAAATACAAAAATTAGCTGGACATGGTGGTGCGTGCCTGTAGTCTCAGCTACTCAGGAGGCTGAGGCAGAATTGCTTGAACCCAGAAGGCGGAGGTTGTGGTGAGCTGAGATTGTGCCATTGCACTCCAGCCTGGGTAGCAAGAACGAAACTTCATCTCAAAAAAAAAAACATGGAGTGGTTAGCGAATTTGAGTGTCATCCTTGCACAGGGGCCATGTGAATCTTCTCTGTATCTTTCCAATTTTAGTATATGTTCTGCTGAAGCGAGCACCCAAAGCTTTCTTAAACACCCATCGGAACTGGTATTCTGCAAAATATCAGTTTGGAAAGCATCATTTTAAACCATCCTCCTATCTGTATAGTTAACTATGGCTAGAAAGTAATAGGAGGTTTTCTTCATGAACTTTGGAAGTGCAATTCTTTATTGAAAAACCTCATAAACTTTGTGATGGCAATTACAGATTATTTTGTTGTGTTTTATTGTTTCAATAAAGAGACCACAAGTCAAAACTCTCCATGGTGAAAGGTTCTCTGACTACCTCCTTGAAAATGTTTAGTTGTTACTTCAAACAGCTATTCAAAATTCAATCATTAATTAATAGTTGTTTGAATTTTGCTGATAATGGAGGCACCGCTGTCACCCTAGTGGCAACTACATGGATTTTAGCCATGTGACTTGCAAATAAAAACCAGTCCATTGATAGTAACCATCACACAACTGGATTTCCTTATCTTACATGCCAGGGCTTCCCTTCAAGTTGCCTGTTTTGAGGTGTCTATAGGTCTCAATTGGATGGAGAGGGTTATGGATGGAGAGGGTTATGTAAGAAACAGCTTCATTCTCATAGTTATTATTTTATGCTTAGATTTTTCCCTATATCTCCAATCATGAATAGTTGCAGAAAAGAAATTCTCCCACAGTGTATCTCATATTCGCTAATCAACAGCTTTAACAAGTCACTTTTACTTGGAAATAAGGTACTTGGACTAGATTACAGAAGTCACTATTACCTTTTTAAAAATCATTTTTTTTCAGATAATAATGTAATTTTTCTTCTTCTTGGCAAATCAGTATTTATTTAATTTGTTAAATTTCAAGGTCTAGATATTTCTTGTTGTGTAAGAATTTGTATTTTGAATACAGTGTCTTTTTTTTCAAGTTTCAAAAACCACTATCATTTAATGTCTACAACAATACTGTGTTATATTTATTTATTGAATTTTTTAAAAAATTAATTTTTTTGTAGATACATAGTAGGATTATGGGGTAAATGACATGTTTTGATACAGGCATGTGGTATGAAATCAGCACATTGTGGGGAATATAATATCCATTGCCTCAAACATTATCCTTTGAGTTACAAACAATCTAATTATACTGTTTAAGTTATTTTAAAATAAATACGATTTATAACTGCAACTAGTATTTACAATGAGGTTATTACTGACTATAGCCGCGTCATTGTGCTGTCAAATAGTAGAACTTATTTATTCTTTCTATTTTTTTGTACCAATTAACCATCTCTACTAACCACCACACCACCACCCTTCCTAGCCTCTGGTAACCATTCTTCTACTCTATATGTTCATGAATTCAATTGTTTTAATTTTTAGATCCCACAAATAAGTAAGAACATGTGATGTTTGTCTTTCTATGTCTGGCTTATTTCGCTTAATATGATGATCTCCAGTTCCATCCATGTTGTTGCAAATGACAGGTTCGCATTCTTTTTTATGGCTGAATACTACTCCATTGTATATGCGTATCACATTTTCTTTATCCATTCATCTGTTGATGGACACTTAGGTTGCTTCCAAATCTTAACCATTGTAAACAGTGCTGCAATAAGCATAGATCAGTATATCTCTTCAGTACACCGATTTCCTTTCTTTTGGGTTTATGCCCTGCATGGGATGCTGGATCATATGGTAGCACAATTTTTAGTTTAGAAACCTCCAAACTGCTCTCCATAACAGTGTACAAGGAGTCCCTTTTCTTCACATCCTCGCCAGCATTTGTTATTGCCTGTCTTTTGAATATCAGGAGACTGGTCTCTGTCTACCCAGATTCAAAAAGTTGTGGATGTTTCCTTTTCTCTGCAACCTTGCCAATATCTGTTTTATTTTACCTTTTAGAAATAGCCATTCTGACTGGTGTGATACTGTTGGTGAGAGTTTAGTTCAATCACGTGGAAAGCAGTATGGCGATTCCTCAAAGAGCTAAAAGCAGAACTACCATTTGATACAGCAATCCCATTACTAGGAATGTAAATCATTCTACCATAAAGACACTTGAAAGGGAATGCCAATTGCAGCACTATTCACAATAACAAAGACATGGAATCAACCTAAATGTTCATTAATGACCAGTTGGATAATGTACATATACACCAGGGAAAACTATGCAGGCATAAAAAAGAATGAGATCTTGTCTTTTGCAGGAACATGGATGGAGCTGGAGGCTATTATCCTTAACAAACTAATGCAAGAACAGAAAACCAAATACCACATGTTCTCACTTATAAATGAGAGTTAAATTATGAGAACTCATGACTGTAAAGAAGGGAACAATAGGCATTGGGGTCTACTTGAGAGTGGAGGGTGGGAGGAGGAGGGAAACAAGCAGAAAAGAAAACTATTGGGTTCTGAGCTTGATACATGGGTGATGAAACAATGTGTACAACAGATCCCAGTGACATGAGTTTGCCTACATAACAAACCTTCATGTGTACCTCCAAATCTAAAATAGAAGTTTAAAAAATAAAAATAAAATAAACAGATGATTAAGATTTAGTTCATCCAAGAGCTTACATACTATCTTATTGAGGAATGTAGATTGTACAAAACACACTCAAATTCATTAACTCTTTTGTTGTATCCTCAAGGATACTATAAAGTTGATAAAGCAGATTTTAAAGATAGACATCTCAGATAAGAAAGACAAAGATTGAATATTTATTGATTAATTCTCTCATTGAATCATATTCCAGGCACCATGAGATATAGTTTGGATATTTGTCCCTGTCCAAATCTCACAGGGAATTGTAATCCCCAAGGCAAGAGGTGGGGTTGATTGAGGTATTTTAGTCAGAGGGGTGGCTCCCTCATGACTTGGTGCTGTCTTCACAATAGTGAGTGACTTCTCACAAGATCTGGTCATTTAAAAGTATATGGCACCCACCCCCATACATTCTTCTCTTGCTTTTGCTTTCACCATGTGCTATACCTACTTCCTGTTTGCCTTCCACCATGACTGTCAGCTTCCTGAGGACCCCCAAGAAGCGGAGCAGATATTGGCACCATGCTTCCTATAAAGCCTGCAGAACCATGCGCCAGTTAAACCTCTTGTCTTCATTAAAAAAAAAAAAAGAAACACAATTTTTTTGTTTTGTTGATCTTTTGTATTGTTTTTTCATTTTAATAACATTTATTTTTGCTCCAATCTTTATGATTATTTTTCTTTTTCTAGTTTTCAATTTGGTTCGCTTTTGCTGTTCTAGTTCTTTAAGATGCATGATTAGATCATTCATTTGAAGTTTGGTACTGCTTTTGTTATATCTGATAGGCTTTTGTATGATGTATTTCCATTATCATTTGTTTTAAGAAAATTTTCAATTTCATTCTTAATTTCTCCGTTGAACCACTGGTCATTCAGGAACATATTATTTAATTTCCATGTGCTAGTATAGTTTCCAAAATTCCTCCTGTTACTAATTTCTAGTTTTAGTCCATTGTGGTCAGAGACTGGGCTTGATATTATTTCAATTTTGTTGAATATTTTAAGATTTGTTTTGTGACATAGCATGTGGTCTATCCATCTCTTGAGGAAAAAAAATGTGTATTCTGCAGTTCTTAGATGAAATATTCTGCAAATATCTACTAGGTCTATTTTATCTGTGGTGCAGATTAAGTCTGATATTTCTTTGTTGATTTTCTGCTTGGAAGATTTTTCCAAGTGGGATGTTGTTTCCAGCCATTATGGTGTTAAAAAGGCCTATCTCTCTCTTTAGCTGCTTACTCCAGTGTTGACTGCATATACACTTAAAGTTGTTAGATCCCCTTGCTGAATTGACCCTTTTCTCATTATATAGTTGCATACAGTATTTATATCTCTTGTATTCACAGAATACTTTTCTTAACATAAAGTTATGTTGTTCTTTAGCCACACTTTTGTTGCTGGGTTTTTGATAGATTGTTCTTGGAAAAGGTGAAAGTTTTAAAAGCTCAGCTATTTCAGAAATGAACAGAACATTTAAATAAAACAAAGTAAAATTTCAAAAACATTTTAAGTGGTAACATTAAAGGACAATCAATAAAAAAATTGAAGTAGAGTGTAAAACTTCCAGATCAAACATTCCACAAATGGAATATTTTTAAAAATAAGAAAAGAAAAGGCCGGGCATGGTGGCTCACGCCTGTAATCCCAGCACTTTGGGAGGCCGAGGCAGGTGGATCACGAGGTCAACAGATCGAGACCATCCTGGTCAACATGGTGAAACCCCGTCTCTACTAAAAATACAAAAAATTAGCTGGGCATGGTGGTGCGTGCCTGTAATCCCAGCTACTCAGGAGGCTGAGGCAGGAGAATTGCCTGAACCCAGGAGGCGGAGGTTGCGGTGAGCGGAGATCGTGCCATTGAACTCCAGCCTGAGTAACGAGTAAAACTCTGTCTCAAAAAAAAAAAAAAAAAAGAAAGAAAAGAAAAATTACAGAAAAAAAAGTACGATGGTAGAAACAAGCCCATATATTTTGGTAATCAGTAAAATGAAAATCAGTTAAACAGGCCAGTTAAAATAAACTTAGATTGGATTTGAAAACAGTAATACAAAATTCTGCCCTGTACTTTTATCAAAACATACCTGAAAAGGTTAAGAGTAAAAAGGACAGAAAAAGGTAAAATACCTAAATTCTAATCAAAAGAAAGCTGACAGCAAATATTAATCTCAGATAAAATAGTCTTTAAGACATAAAGCATCTTTAGGAGTAAATAGGTCTGTATATAATGTTTAAAGAACTTCAATACCTAAAAGATACCTTAACATATTCAAAAATATAAAGCAAAAATTGATAAGGTATCTAGAATTACCATGAGAAATGAGAAAATTCTGCATCAGAATGGAGGATTTCAATTTTATTTTGTATTTTTATTTTTTATTTTATTTTATTATTTTTTTTGAGACAGAGTCTCACTCTGTTGCCAGGCGCCAGGCGGGAGTGCAGTGGCACAATCTGGGCTTGCTGCAACCTCCACCTCCCAGGTTCAGGCCTCAGCCTCCCTAGTAGCTGGGACTACAGGCACCACCTGCACCACCACACCCAGCTAATTTTTGTATTTTTAGTAGAGATGGGGTTTCACCATGTTGGTCAGGTTGGTCTCGATCTCTTTACCTCGTGATCCACCCACCTCGGCCGGATTTCAATTCTAAAAAGTTCAATTTTTGAGAGGTGAAACAGACAAATATTAGGGTGTGGTTAGGATTAACTGATAATGTGTGTCAGTTAGTTTTTTAATTTGATCGAATGCCTATTTAGTGCTAGGCACTATTCCAGACTTTGGGTCAGAGTGGTGACATACAGATTTGGTCCTAGATCTCATGGGACTGACAGTCCAGGTCTTAGGGCTGACGGAGAAAGATGTTCATGACACCCCCTCACCATGACATTGAATTTGGAGGTATAGATTAGTGGTTAAGTTTGCATACTTTGGATGGAATTCTTGTTGGGCCTTGTTTCTAGCACATAGAAATTGCATGGTTTGGACAGTCTCTGTCTACTCATCTATAAAGCAGATGTAATGTCTATATCCAAGTATTGGTGAATAATATGATATAGGGTATTTAAAGCTCTAAGCACAAGGCTTGGCATAATCTCTCAATAATTTACCACACTTATCATTACCTGTCATTTTGCTAAAAGCTTTGAATCAGTAGTTGCTGCTGAACCAGATGGTCAGGCTTCGATAACACTCTGATTGATAAGTAATGGTACTTTGTGGATGAGTATTGAATGACTCAATCTATTTTCCAACAAATCCTAGTTTTCCAGTTTTTTATTCTTTTTAGCCAACTTCATAGTTTTGCATATTTGGGACTTGTGGTTGGTGAATCTAAATGCTATGATTACTTTTTTTTTTAAGATGGAGTCTCACTCTGTCACCCAGATTGGAGTGCAGTGGCATGATCTCAGCTCACTGCAACCTCTCCCTCCCGGATTCAAGTGATACTCCTGCCTCAGCCTCCTGAGTAGCTGGGATTACAGGCACCTGCCACCATGCCTGGCTAAATTTCTTGTATTTTTTGTAGAGATGGGGTTTCAACATGTTGGCCAGGCTGGTTTCAAAATCCTGACCTCAGGTGATCTGCTGCCTTGGCCTCCCGAAGTGCTAAGAATTCAGACGGGAGCCACCGCACCCAGCCTATGGTTGCTTTTAACAGTTTTTTGTATGCTCAGAACCTAAGAATCAGATTATGCATGTGGCTTACTTAGCATCCTGGTCAAAATGGCCACTTCCCACCCCCTTCCACATCTTTAGACATTCTAACATTATGTTTGCCTAAAACTCATAATTTGAAACTACTAACTTAAAAAAAATTCTTTTGTCATTGGCTACCTGGTTATGAGCTCCTACTTCATTTTAAGGGATCAGCACTGAATGTGGCCAGGAATCAAAACTTAAGCCATGTGTAATTCCTTTAATATATCAATAAATATTTACTAACTACTTCTGAAATGTCACACTCTTTTCTATTTCAGAAATGGTGAAGAATACAACTATGAATAAGTTGTGATTTTTACTCTGGAGAATCTTACTGTTTAGGGGGAGAAATCAGACGGGTTTAAAAAAAAACTCTGCCCCCACTAAGAGCAAGAACAAGGCAAGGATGTCTACTCTCACCACTTCTTCTCAGCATTGTTTCAGAGATTCTAACCAGTGTAATATGGTGGACATCACAAAGAAATAGAAGGCATAAATATTGGAGATAGTTAAATTTCTTTATTCTCAAACAAATAAAAACTACTGGGACAAATGAATTTGCCAGTGTTATAGGGTATGAGGGTATGCAAAAAATCAATTGTATTTCTATATATTAGCAATGAAGCATTGAGAAATAAAATTTTCAAAGCAATGCCACTTATAATAACACTAAAACATAAAGTACTTAGGAAAAATTTAACTGAAGATGTTTAAGTTCTTTACATGAAGGTTACATAGCATTGTGGAGATATTAAAGACCTAAGTAAATGAGAAGATATACCATGTCCATGGATTAGAAGGCTCAATATTGTTAAGATGTTAGTTCTCCCCAAATTGGTCTATAGAAATATAATCTCAAACAAAATCCCAGCTGAAATTTATAAGCTGATTTTAACACTGACATAAAAATTCAAAAGACCTAGAATATCCAAAACAATCTTGAAAAAAAAACAGCGTTGAAGAACCTTTACATTCTAACTTCAAGACTTATAAAACTACAGTAATTAAAATAATGTAGCCTGGGCATAAAAATGACAAATAGACAAATGGAGTAGAATAGAGAGTCCATAAATAGATCCACATGTTTAGACTCAATTGATTTTTAACTAGTTGTCAAAGGTATTCAAAGGAATAGGAAAGTTATGAAAATTATTTTTAAAAATGGTGCTGAAACAACTAGATTACTATATGGGAAAAATGAACCTCAGCTTTTCCTCATACTATACACAAAAATTAATTTGTTATAGATTATATATATATCTCAAAACATAAAAGCTAAGACTATAAGACTTCTATAAGAAAACAATATTTTGACTGCAAAGTTTGCCGTCCGGCTGCCTGGGGCCTGGGAAACTCGGGCACCCTCCTGCGCCAGCACTGCCGCTCCCACCCCTCTGACCCCCACTGTCGTGCTCCTCCAGGCTGGGCCTATGGCCGCGAAGCTTTTGAATCTTCCCCCATGGCAGAAACTAGCTGCTCGGCCCCCAGGAGGGCAACTCATCAGGAACGATGTGGAAGGTGTCAGCTCTACTCTTCATTTTGGGGAGCCGATGCTCTGGGTCCCGGCAGAGAGGAGCCAGCATGGGCCAGCCAGAAGATGACATTGAGACTCCAGGTACAGAAGGCAGCATTGTGATGCCAGGTGCCGAAGATGATGTGGTGACCCCAGGAGCTGGTGAAGACCTCTCTACGGCTGGCTTGACAACTCTGGTGGCAATGAGTGTCAAGAGTGTGACCGACACTGGCCCCGAGGATCTGCCAACTCCAGAAAGCACAGCACACACCAAAGAAGGAAGTCCGAGCACCACAACCTCAAACGTGGCAACCAGTCCCTCCAGGGAGAAAGTGGATGGAGAGACACAGATAACAGTTGACAAGGATGGTTTGGCAACAGTGACCCTGGTCGGAATTATAGTTGGGGTCTTACTAGCCATTGGCTTCATTGGCGGAATCACCGTGGTGGTTATGCGAAAAATGTCTGGAAGGTATTCGCCCTAAAGAGCTGAAGGGTTACGCCCTACTGCCAACACACTGAAAAAAAGACCTTTCTGTTCCTCTGCGCCCTGTCCCTGAGCTTGTGGGAGATGATCCGTGGAACACTTGCCCACCCCATTCAGAATCCATGGTGATCTCTCTGCTTGCCAAAGTAACTGAAGGAAAGGCGGTTCACCAGGCCTGGCTCCTCTAAATATTTGCCTTTCAAACATGTTTTCGAATCTACATTCTATAAAAGATGATTCGAAAGACAAGATTCATAGAAAATGGGGCAAAACTGTATAAACTGCATTCTAAAAAGACTGGACCATTGGATCGATGTTAGATGCTGTAATCATGTGTCTCTGTCTGACCATTCTCTGTTACTGTTCAAGTGCAAAGGAATCTGGAAATATTTATAACCATGGAGTCCTTGGATCCAGTGCCATGTCAGTAAATAGCACCAGCCTTTTGCAATTGCTGATCTGTTGAAATGTACACATTTCAGTCTAGTTTGGTCTGTCTTTAAAGCCTGATATGTATACCACATAATCAAGTAGAAAATCTTAACTTGGATAATGTGCGATAAGCGACTGCCTTTAGCTGGTCCAGATTAATCATTTCAAAGACATCCGTCTTAGAACGCAAGTAGGAAGTCTGTAGTCTCGAAGGCACTTGTTTCTCCCAAGTAGGCCACGGGCAGCCTCTAGACTTAGCTTTACCCAAATCCTTCTCCAGCCATGACTTGGTGACTCCCAGACTTGCCCCCTCCACTTCCCTCGGATGATGGGGAGCTGGGGTGAAGGGGGCAGCCTTCCCTCTTCCCAGTAATTCATATCCTTTGGATTGGCTGCTTTGTTCCAGGATAAGGATATCTCAGCCTGGACACTGAGGAAGCTGCTGGATGTTTAATGGTGCTAGAGGCTCAAGCGTTTTCGAAACCAAGAGCTCCCATGCAGAACGAAATCCTATGTGAGCCTTTGGTATGAGAAATAAAACCTGCCACTTACATTCGCTTTCTGCCTTAAAGGAAAGATACGGGGAACAAAATTCATTTTCTACAGTCTTAATTTTAAAAGCAGCTGGACGTAAATATCTGATTTTAAAAATAGAAGGTATCTCTAGTCTTCATGACATACCACAAATACCTGTGGGTCCTATTGAAAAGAACAAAATAAAGGATCTCAAGGGATCATTCTGTCTCCACACCATCCAACCTGGCACTTCTCTTCCCATATAGCCATTGAATTTTTTTTTTTTCTAAACAAAGTTTTTATACTGAGCAGATGCTCTGTCATGATTTCGATTGTGCAATTCTGATATCCTGTAAACTTGTAAGCATTCATAAAACAGGAAAAAGTAAAAAAAAAGAAAAGAAAACAATATTTTTATCTTAGTGTAGAAAAAAAATTCTTCAATAGAATAACCATTAACCACAAAATAATTGATAAGTTGTGCTAAAAAAATTGAAAATATCTCATCAAGAAATGTCTTTCAGCAAGCGACAGACTAAGAAAAGCTGCTTAAGAGGTATGCATACTTCAAGCAGCTACTTGAATTCAGAACACAGGTAGAATTTTTACAGCTCAATAATGCAGACAAAAATCTCAGTTTAAAACAGTGCACAAAAGTAGACACAGAAAAGGTTAATAAGCACATGAAAACATGTTCAAAATCAGGGAAGTGATATAAACCACAAGACACTACTTGACACCTACTCAAATAGTTAAAAGGAGAGATTGATGACAATAAATATTAGACAGAATGTGGGGTACTAAAATTCTTATGACAGCGAGCATATAAAATGTTATGCCCACTTTGAAAGACTACCTAGAAATTTCTTATGAAGTTAAACACATGCCTATTCTGTTACCCAGCATTACAGAAGAATGGATAAATAAATTGTGGTGTACTTTTACAATGCAATACCATTCAGCAATAAAAAAGAATGAATTACTAAATGAATGAACCTCAAGAACATGCTGAGTAAAAGAAGCCAAATACAAAAGAATAAATACTGTATGATTTCATTTATATGAAATTCTAAAACAGAAAAAAGTAATTTATAGTGATAGAAATAAGAATGGCAGCTGCTACTGTTGGGGACAGGGAAAGGATATGAAAGAATTCCCTAGAATGACACAAATGGTAGAGGTAAAATGAGTGTACATATTTGTCAAAAATCAGTGAACTGTATGCTTAAAATTTGTGCATTTAATGGTATATAAATTTAAAAAGAAAGAACTCTATTACAAGGTAGCCATTTATAATTGCACCAATGCTTAAATCACAAACTCAAATACCCTATTCTCCGATTACATTCTCCTTGGCCTCAATTCTCCGATTACATTCTCCTTGGCCTCAATTCTCCAATTACATTCTCCTTGGCCTCAATTCTCCAATTACATTCTCCTTGGCCTCAATTCTCCAATTACATTCTCCTTGGCCTCATGAAGCGCTCCACTTTGATGACCCACCACTTTTTCTGTATCTACCACCTCATTTTGCCTTCGCTTCCCTCTTATTCAGGTACAGGTCCACTATGGGCCCTCCCTTGAAGATACCCTCAACTCTCTCACCTCTTTCCTTCGATTACATGTACCTGTTGCAACTCAATTCTGCGTAAACCTATTTGCTGCCTTTTCCATACCTGCCTGCATGCAGTTAAAACTGGGTGAAAATCCCACAACTGTGTAGACTGATGTGACTTTTCCCTTCCATGATTACAAATCTTACTCTAGGCTTATGATTTCCAGCCTCGAATGGGAAATTGGCACTGCCAGTCACCACACAGCTGAGATAAGCCCATTCTTTGACTCTCCTCAAGGAATATTTGTACATTCTCCAGTTTTCCAGCTGCATTCATCTTACCATATATTGCTCTCAGCTAACAACCTTGTCTCATATTAATTAAAAACAAAACACACAAACACCACCTCACCCTCACCTCAAATCCCACAATGTACGAGTAGAAGCTCTACCTGTTTCTCCCCACTACCAAATTTAAACACCTGGTGGCATCACCACCCAATTGTTCTCCTTCTCTACTGTTTCTGGGAAGAGGTTTCATTTCCTCTGCAAAGCCAGGCTCCCCATTTGTGCTCTGATCCCACCCCCTTTTTGTCATTGTTAGCATTTCCATCTTTACTCTCTATTGGATTTATCCAATAAATAATCAAACATTTGTACACCAGCCTCATTATACTAATCATCCCCAGCTATTGCCCCAATGTTTTGCCTCCCTTAACTGTGCTCCTTGCAAGAGTTGTCTGCAATCTCATCCTCACCTCTCATTTATTCTTCACTGTATTAAATTTTAGTTTTTGCCCCTTCCATTTCATAGAAATGGATTTTGCAAAGAGCACTGTGTGCTGCCAAAGCCAGTGGTAGTTTCTCTGCCTTCATTTTACTGGACCTTTCTGTGGTAGTCTAGGCTTTTAACCACTTCTCTCCTGAAACATGCTCATCTCTTGGCTTCTATGACATCAGACCCCCAAGTTTTCTCCCAGCTTTCTGGCATTCTCAGACTCTTTTGCCAGCAGCCCTCTCCCCCCATATCGCATATGAACTCTAATATTTGAGTTATTTATGGAACAAGCAGTCCATCATGCTCTTCTCTTCTCACTTTAAATTCTCATTCCACCCATTCCCATGACTTTGGATTTTACTATATACTCTGGCCCTTAAACAAATATTTGTAGCCCAGATCTTTATTCCAGGCCCCAGACTCTCAGTTTCAATTACTTATTCCACATTTCTAACTTGGAGGGCTCACAGAAATCTCAAAGCAAACATATCCCAAGAACACTTCTGATTCCTTTATTCCCACCCCTTCATCATTCTTTCTTTTCTGAGTGAATTGAACTTAGGAAGAACCAACCCCATCTTTCTTGCTACCTTCTTCTGACTCATTGCTCCTCCTGAAATATTCTAATTCATTACAAATTGCTATCAATTCTGCCCCTACAACATGTTTAAAAATTATTATGCACATGTCCATGTCCATCTCCACAGATCTAACCCAAGCCATATCATCTTTTGCCTGACTGATGCCTGAACAACTCCTGCCTCTCTTCAATCCACTCTCCATGTGGTAGCCAGAGTGATTTAACAAATGGATGTAGGATAATGTCTCATGCTCACACACAAACTCCTCCAGCCACTGAACACTATCGATGTCTTATTTCATGTAGAACATAACCTAAAACTCTTAACAGGATCTCAGGTGTGCTTTGGCTTTCGTCACCAACCTCCCCTTGAATTGCTTTTCTACTCACCAGCTTCAGTAATGTCCCTCTTCTCACTGATCCCTCAGGCACACCAAACTATTTTCATCTCAGGGAGTTTGTACAACCTGTTCACTCTGCCCTGGGACATTCTTTCCACCACCCTTTGCCTGGCTAACTCTGAGTCAGCACTCAGTTCCAACAGTACTTCCTCAAAGTGGCCTCCTCTCTGTTATTCTGTCTCTGAAAGAGTTCTGAGAGCCCAGTCTTTCCAACTGTAACCTGTAGACCAGTTTGCATTAATAAATATACATTTATTTGTGTGTTGATTACAAATAAATATGTATTTTTTGACAATAAATATATATTTATTTAATGTTAGCTTTCTCTAGAGATATTTAATCACAAGACCTGTTTTGTTTACCATTGTATATCAGTGGGTATACTTCCTGGACCTTAGTAAATGCTTAATAATTATTTGTAGAATGAATTTATTGTTGAGTATGAGGTAGATGAGGATAAATTCTCCAACCTCAGGCCTGAATCAGTTGTCTACTTTTCTGAGTAACTGTTCCAAATCCCCTTCAGGCAGGGTATATGGTTTACCCCACAAAGTTCTTTCTGTTCAATAGCCCTCTGTGTTTACATTTACAGCACTACTAATGATAGTGTCCCTAATACCCTATGCCCCTCTACTTTGAGTTACAGATAGGATTATACTTTCTCGCTGAGTTAGATTAAGTTTTGCCCCTGTAACTGCTGCCCCTCTGTGTAATATTATTCTACTTCCCTATCTTTGCCATTAATCTTGGCCACTTGGGAGGTGGTGCCTCTCTACATAGGAGGATTATGCGTCTCTGAATCAGATATTGGCCATGAGACTCATTTTGGCCTATAAATAGAAGTGAAGTATGCCACTTCTGAGCAGAAGCATCAGAGCCATTGCATTAGTCTACAGACTTTCTTTTCTATCTGTAAGGAGAATGACATTTTCCCATATAGAGGCTGCTCCATCAGCATGGATCCCAGGGCTTTAGGTGACTACAGGATGTATGAGAGAGGAAAAAAAATAAATCACTGTTTCTGTAAACCCTTGAGACTGGGGGGTTGATGATTCCCACAGTTTAACACAGT